TACTTCTCTGCCACTCCTGACATCCTCATACAGTACCATAGCTCCTCGCTCGGCACTCTGTCGTATGCTTTCTTTAAGTCCACAAAGACGCAATGCAGCTCCTTCTGACCATCTCTATACTTCTCCATTAACCTTCTCAGAGCAAAAATTGCATCAGTAGTGCTCTTTCTGGGCATGAAGCCATTCTGACAGTACAGAATTCACACCTTTGGCTGTGTAACAAAACCATGTCCAGTACACGCAGATGGAAAGAGACTTTGTATTACCCTCTTACACTGATAGTATTTTTGGCATTGTTCAATGGTTTGTTTTTTTAAACCTTACCACCCACCCCCACCTACCTGAAACCCCCAGCTGGTGCGCAGTCAGGTATGTGTGTTTGTAGGGCTATATTTGTGAGGACCAGTACCATAGGAGTGAGGACATTTTGACCTGTCCTCACTTTCTGACACCCCTACAACTGAGGGTAAAGACTTGGTTTCAGGTTTGAGTTAGGTGTTAGTGAGGGTAAGGGTTGGGGTTGGAGTTAGACTTTTAGTGGTGAGGACTAAGGGTAAGAGGCTAGGGAATACATTATGTCACACAGCTTAGTCCTCCCAGCCATAGAAAGACCAGTGTGTGTGTGTGTGTGTGTGTGTGTGTGCATGTGTTGGGACCTCACTGGGTGTGTCTATGACAGAGGTGAAGCCAGTTAGAAGTGATCTGCAGCTAACATGCACACACAGGTGTGTGTGTTGGTGTGTATATGAAGCATCCACCCACACTCTCTGCTGCAGATGCCCATAACACATGAAAGTGTGGGTCTGGGTTTTGAAGTGTGTGCTCATGTGTTCATGACTTCCACACCTATGAGTTGTTTGGACACCCCTACCCTTGAATCAAATATTTACAGTCAATATTTAGACCCTCTCCTTCCCTCGTCAGGGTCCTCCTGCCTGCTCCCTTCACTCATTAGGTGGTGGTTCCGTGATTTCATGGCTCTCAGCAGGAGGCTCCAGAAGTGCAAAACTGGTCTCAATAAGCTCTACAGATGGCTGAAGTGCTAATCCATGTGATATGAAATGTTGACACTGTTATAGTGTTATATATTATAGGGTGGAGTGGGGTTGATAACAATAACAGGTGTTATGAAGGGGTCTAAGGTGGAGTCTGGCTACAAATGACTACAGACAGACTATAGGCTCCTCTGAATTATCCAAAGAGCCCACTGTAAAACGTTTTTGGTGGAACTGCTTTATATAAAAGAAATATTCCAGTGAAACTGCTCAGAGTAAAGTCTGTGGATTATTTACCTTAAATAAGGCATTGTTTCTGGAAAGACTAGTTTATACAATGTAGTTTTTCAGTGCTTTAAGGAACACAAACAAAATTCTTTTTATTGTCTCTAAGTCTGTGTGCACAAACTGAAACCTGCTGCTTGCTTGACTGCTTGGCTAGATGCTAGCTAACACTAGGTGTAACTGAAAAAAATATTTGTTTTGTGATTTAACTAAATATTCTTCTGTCTTACAGGTTTCAACTGTATATTTGTCAAAAATCTTTCACAATAAATGTACATGATTCAGACTATAAATATTACCAAGCTAGCACATAGCATTGCAGCTAACTATTGTATATTTTGAATTTAACTACTCTGCTTGTTTCAGTGGTGCTATTTATAGATATACAATATACTGTAAATACTGTATCTTTATGACTTTATCAAATGTGTAAATAATCATAAAGTTCAGCTGGACGAAGAGAATAAACCCATGGACCTTCAGTCATCACTGGACACTGTCTGGTTTTTATTTTTCAGGGGATAAAGAAATCCTCCTTGTAAAAACATGTCTGCCCTTTTTCAGTCACTGCCCTGTATCCATGCTATTACAGTATCTGTTCTTCCTTCACCATCCCACCTGTATCTTTCACCAGTTTGAGTAGTAAATGTGAACTACATGCTGTCCTCTCTACTCTACTCTTTGTGAAGCTCTTAAACCTCTTGGAGTGGGGCGGACAGTTGGGGACACAGTGATTTTGCCACCACAGTAACAAGTAGTCCTAGCTGGAGAGGCTGCTTTTTGAAAACATTTTTGCTTTACATCAGGGCAGGACTGACAAGCAGGTAGGAGAGGAGGCTGTGTGTGGAAGCAGTAGCTTCTGGTGATCTGGGCTTCTTACATTGTGGTCCCTAAGCAGAAGAGTGCAATAAGGCATGTACTATCACAATGTTAACATTTTCCATACTGCATATCATAAAATCATGCCATTTCCATCATACTGATAAATTCTGTACACAGTTTAAACAGTTGTATTCACAAAATAATTGAGTAAATTAAGTCCACAGCCATTAAACTTGTCTTTTTGTGTAATGTATCATTAATTTTTGCATATTTGAACTGTTTATACATCACTCAGTTATACTGCCTAGTTTACACCAGAGTTGACTAGAGTTTACCTGACATGCAGATATATACATATATACACACACACACATATATATATATATATATAGTGCCTCTGTGCTGTCTTTCAGTCCAGCTTTGTCCAGCCACTGGTAGGATTTTTTGATATCAGCCACTTCTACAATTTGACTGTGGTACATACCGTGCAGAGGTTTGTCCTTCCATGAGGGTTCCTGCTCTTCCTTCCCTAGTTCCTTTGGTTTCTGCTTTCTGAGGCATTCACTAAGCATGTCATCACTCAGGGCTATCTGCCTGATGTATTCCTGGATCTTTGTTGTTTCATCCTGGATAGTGGCTCTGACGCTCACTAATCCTCGGCTTCCTTCCTTCCGCTTAGTGTACAGTCTCAGGATGCTGGACTTAGGTTGCCATGCATTGTAAGGAGCTTCCTTGTCTTGATGTCAGTGGCCTCTATCTCCTCCTTTGGCCAGCTTATTATGCCAGCGGGGTACCTGATGATCGGCAGGGCATAGGTGTTGATTGCCCGGACTTTGTTCTTCCCATTCAGCTGGCTTCTCAGGACTTGCCTTACTCTCTGCAGGTACTTGGTGGTTGCTGCTTTCCTTGCGGCCTCTTCATGGTTCCCATTTGCCTGCGGGATCCCAAGGTACTTGTAGCTGTCCTCAACATCTGCTGTGTTACCTTACCTTCTGGCCTTCGTTCTCCTTGTTACCATTCAGCCACACTTATCCAGTCCGAATGACATTCCAATGTCCTGGCTGTAGATCCTAGTGGTGTGGATCAGTGAGTCGATGTCTCGTTCACTCCTGGCATACAGCTTGATGTAAAAAATCTAGGGTTGTTTTCCACATTCCCATTGAGTTCTTGATGAAGGCTCTTAGAGTCCTGTCGATGTTGTACAGTTCCAAGCATTCCAGGATCCATGTGTGAGGCAGTGAGTCATAGGTTTTCTTGTAGTCATTCCAGGCAGTGCACAGGTTGGTGTGCCTAGTCTTGCAGCCTCGAGTAACTACTTTTTCAACCTGTAGCTGGTGCCTTGCTCCTCTGGTGTTACTACCAATTCCTTTCTAGGCACTGCTCATGTATTGAGCCATGTGCCTGCTCATCTTAGCTGCTATGATGCCTGACAGGAGCTTCCATGTTGTGCAGAGGCAGGTTATTGGGCGGTAGTTGGATGGTACTGCTCCCTTCTGAGGGTCCTTCAGGATTAGGACTGTCCGGCCTTCAGTTAACCACTCAGGGTGGGTTCCATCTATTAGTAGCTGGTTCATTTGTCCCGCCAGGCACTCATGGAGTGAAGTTAGCTTCTTTAACCAGCAGGCATGGATCATGTCAGGACCTGGTGCTGTCCAGCTCTTCATATTTGAGACTCGCTCTTGAATGTCTGCCATTGTGATGATTACTAGGTCTTGTGCAGGGAGGTTGCTGTGGTCTGGTTGTTATGTGATGCATCCTTCTCCCATATGCTCTCCCAGAACTGTTCAGTCTCCAGCCTTGGTGGGTCTGCTCTCATGTTATTCCCCTGCCACTGAGAGTACACCTTGGATGGCTCAGTGTAGAACATTCGGTTTATTCTCCTGGCTCCAACTTCTCTGGTGTACTTCTTTAGTCATGTGGCCAGTGCTGTGAGCCTTTGCTTGGCAGTCTCTAAGGTTTCAGATATGGACAGTGAGTTGTATTTCTTAGGTACCCCTTTCTTCATCACGCCTTTCTGAAATTCTGATAGCTGGCTAACTTTTCTCCATGCTGCCTTGATCTTGGTCTCCAACCTCCTTCTCGCCTTTGTATCCTTATGGCCTTTGTTGAACTTATAGCCAAGCATCTCAAGGATGACGGTTGCTGTGGTGTACATGAGCGTGTTGGTCTCAGTGATGGTCGTAGTAGGGATTGTTCTTACTGCTGCATTCACACCATCTATTAGACTTTCAGAAGGCACTTCACTTAGTCTTGGTAACCGGCCACGGGAGTTCCAAGTGTCCATCTTGCTCATGATCTTCAGTCTCAGGTCAGCAGCCCTTGAATCAAGCTCATCC